ACATCACATGGTTACGTGCATACGAACCAAAGCCATAAAATTATAGAACATGTTTAATAAGGGTACATGAAGGACACTGAGGAAAACCAAGAGCTCTCGGAATAATTAAATCAGTGTTTTAAATTAATGATCTCTTTCACATCCTCAGCTGACCAAGCAATCAACAGAACAGTTGCATGCAAACCCTCGCCTCATCCCAAAGGGAAAACAAGAACATCCCTTCTCTGTAAACTTTTGTCTATTTATTCATGCTACTCTAATGTGGAGCAACACATGATACTTCTGACTCACAACAACAGCAACAACAATAACATAGCATTTCATTCCCAAGCAAATTGGAATAGACTAGAGTTGAAACACACCAAGAGCTCCAAGTCACGGTTCAGGCACTTCAATAGCTGCTTTCCAAACACTACTATTCAAACATAGATCTCTAGGTATATCCCAAACTTTCAAATCTCTTTTTATTGCCTCTCCCAATGTCAATTTCAGCCTTCCTCTACCTCTCCTCATATTATTAGCTTGGCTTAGGACTCCACAATGCACTGGTGTCTCTGGAGGTCTTCTTTGGACATGGTCAAACCAGTTCAACCGATGTTGGACAAGCTTTTTTCAATTGGTGCTACCCCTAGGCGATCACGTATATCATCGTTCCGAACTCGGTTCATTCTTGTGTGACCATAAATCCATCGCAACATACATATTTCTGCAACACTAAATTGTTGAACATGTCGAATCTTTATAGGCCAACATTCTGCTCCATACAACATAGCCGGTCTAATCGCCGGTCTATAAAATTTGCCTTTTACCTTTTGTGGTACACTCTTGTCACAGAGAATGTCAGAAGCTTGTCGCCACTTGATTCACCCTGCTTTGATTCTATGTCTAACATCCACATCAATATCTTCATCCCTCTGTAGCATCGATCACAGATATCGAAAGGTATCCTTCTTAGGCACTACTTGACCTTCCAAACTCACATCTCCCTCCTCCGATACAGCTCCGCCAAAGTCACATCTCATGTATTCGGTTTTAGTTCTGCTCAATCTAAAACCTTTAGACTCAAAGGTCTGCCGCCATAACTCTAATTTCCTATTTACTCCCGTCTGGCTTTTGTCCATTAACACTACATCATCAGCGAACAACACACACCAAAGGATATCCCCTTGTATGTTCCTGGTAACCTCATCCATTACCAAGGCAAAAAGATACGGGCTTAAGGCCGACCCTCCATGAAGTCCAATTTTAATCGGGATGTAATCGGTGTTACCATCGTTTGTTCGAACACTAGTCACAACATTGTTGTACATGTCCTTGATGAGGGTCACGTACTTTGATAGGACTTTATGTTTGTCTAAAGCCCACCACATAACATTTCTTGGTATCTTGTCATAAGCCTTCTCCAAGTCGATGAAAACCATGTGGAGGTCCTTCTTCTGCTCTCTAAGCCGCTCCATAACTTGTCTTATTAAGAAGATTGCTTCTGTAGTTGACCTTCTGGGAATGAAACCAAATTAGTTTGTTGATATCTGCGTCGTTCCTCGCAGGCGCTGCTCGATGACTCCCATAGCTTCATAGTGTGGCTTATCAATTTAATTCCCCGATAATTAGTACAACTTTGAATATCTCCCTTGTACTAGTAGATTGGTACAAATATGTTTTTTCTCCACTCCTCAGGCATCTTGTTCGATCGAAGGATATTGTTGAACATCTTGGTTAGCCAAACTATAGCTATATCCCTGAGACATTTCCACACATTGATTGGGATACCATCAGGGCCTATCGCTTTGCCCCCTTTCATCCTTTTCAAGGCTTCTCTGACCTCCGATTCTTGAGTCCTCCGCACAAAGCGCCTATTAAGTGTCATCAAACGAGTCGTCCAGCTGAACGGTGGTGTTCTCGTTCTCATCATTGAACAATTTATCAAAATACTCTTACCATATATGTCTGATCTCATCCTCCTTCATCAAGAGCTGCTCCCTCTCATCATTTATGCACTTAACTTGATTGAAGTCCCTTATCTTCCTATCGCGAGCCCTAGCCATCCTATAAATGTCATTCTCTCCTTCCTTTATACTCAAACGTTGGTAAAGGTCCTCATAGGCCCGCCCCTTTGCCTCACTCACCGTTTGTTTTGCAGTCTTCTTTGCCACCTTGTACTTCTCTATGTTGTCTGCACATCTGTCATGATACAAGCGCTTATAGCACTCCTTTTCCTTAATAGCCTTTTGCACATCTTCATTCCACCACCAAGTGTCTTTCGAGTCGCATCTGCTCCCTTTGGTCATTCCAAGCACCTCTGAAGCAACCTTCCAAATGCATGTTGTCATCTTCTCCCACATGTTGTTTGCATCACCTTCATCCTTCCAAGGGCCCTCTTCAATGACATTTTCCTTAAAGATCATTGATGCCTCCCCTTCTAATTTCCACCACTTCGTCTAGCAACCCTAACTTGTTTGTTCCCACGAGCTTGCACCAGAAAGCGGAAGTCAGGCACCACCAGCTTGTGTTGAGCGACCACACATTCTCCAGGTATCACCTTACAGTCCACGCATGTTCGTTTATCCCTCCTTGTAAGGACAAAGTCGATTTGACTAAAGTCATGGCCGCTACTAAAGGTCACTAAATGGGATTGTCTCTTACGAAAGAAAGTGTTAGCTATCATCAGATCAAAAGCTATAGCAAAGCCTAAAACTTCCTCTCCCTCCTAGTTCCTACAATCATATCCGAAACCCACATGAACCGCCTCGAAACCTGCACTTGATGTACCTACAAGGCCAATAAGATCACCTCTTATAAAAAGCTTCTCGCTACTAGGGACAGCTCTAACCAAGTGATCTAAGTCTTTTCAGAAAAGCCGCTTAGCACTCTCATCATGGCCTACTTGGGGGGCATACTCACTAATTACGTTTAAGACCATATCACTAATGATAAGTTTAACTAAGATGATCCTATCCCCTTGCCATCTCACCTCCACCACACCATCATTGAGGCTCTTATCAATCAAAACCCCTACTCCATTTTTATTTGAAGTTATCCCTGTGTACCAGAGCTTGAAGCCGGTATTGTCCACCTCCTTCGTCTTCTGCCCCTTCCATTTAGTCTCTTGGACGCATAAGATATTTACACACCTCCTAACCGTTGTGTCCACTAACTCTCTTAACTTACCCGTAAGGGACCCTACATTCCAGCTACCTAAACGGATCCTAGTTGGCTCGACTAGCTTCCTTACCCTTCGCACCCGCCGAGGTAGGTGTGAAGACCCTTACTCATTTTGCACCACACCCGGGCGCCGATGTAGCGTGCCACTAAGGATGCGACAACCCGATTCTTGCTCACACCGTGCCCAGATCGCGACACGGCACGTCACGGGGGTGACAACCCGGCCCTTGCTCATTTAACACCATACCCGGTTCCAACATGGCGCGTCGCTAAGAGGGTTACGCCCCAACGGGATTCTTTTGGGTTTCATCTCTATAAAAGTGGGTAAGTTTTTACATTGGCTCGCCGCGCCTAACATAACCCTTCTCCTTTACCAGGGGACCTGCTATGCTGGGACAACAAAAGCGCCACTCAATCAATGAAATAAAGGCATTTAAACCTGCTTCAATATTCTTATGTGACATTGAATGTTGGCCTCATGTCATATATACAATGTATCAGTGACATATCTCCAGACACACCTTGTCGATTACACAGGATTGTTTTAATAGTTTAAGTGGCATATATGATTTAATCCCTAATATCACATAAGCACCCAAATTATAGAGCAGTGCTCTCTTTAAAATAATGAGAGAACAATCCAAACAGCTGAGTTAGAACAGCTATATCCATTTCTCTGCCAAATGCATTTTGTAACTAGAAACCACACCTACAAACCATCCACAGAAGAACATCACATATGCTACATTCAAATTCAATATGCTTTTCTGTATTCTAACCTCATCACATCTAACATATTTTCCATCTACAAACATTTTTTCCACTAATCTTTTTCTTTAGCAGTATGGTGAGGCATTCTCTTGTGAATTACATTACCAAGCAAGGTTACATTAGGTGCTAGGCGCTCTCTAGGCAGTGACCACCATCTAGAGCCTAAGCGAGCCTAGGCATTTTTCTAGGCGTTTTATATATATACAAATATACATATATTATCTTCTAAAAGAAAAAAAATAAACTGCAGAATAGTGGGCTTAGAAAGAAAGATATAAATGCCCAAGAGTCCAGCCCATCTCCCACTCCAACCTTATCCATCCACCTCCTAGTTCCAGCCGCAGCCGCACTCCTCAAATCGAGCCTGTCACCTCTGCCTCTTCGCGGCCGCGCTCGACGCCCGCTGCCTCTGCTCGGTCGCCCACATCAGCCGCCTCCCTCCCTCCCTCCCTCTCCTCTAGTTGCGCCCGCCACACCTGCACACGCACGCGCCCGCACCCACCGCCGCCCGCGCCCGCCCGACGCTCCTCCTCCCCCACCGGCACGCATATCACCGCCGACGAGCTGGCACAGCCTAGGGTACCGCCTACCCCCCTAGACAAGGTGGTACCCCTCCGCCCAGCGTAGAGGCGCACCTAGGCCAGTGCGGAAGAGTGCCTTTTTTTAACACTGTTACCAACAATTAGCCATCAATTGGTATCTTGTTCCCTTTGGCCAGAACATAGTTAACCCAACATGTTGCAATGTTTCAACAACATCATGTAGCACGCATAAAGTTAAATAAACCAGCACAAATTCAATATCAAATTTCATCTTTCATGCTGAGATTCAAAAAACACCCTGGATAAATCTACACTACATCCAGAATATACAGTTAACTACACTTTCTGGCTGCATATAGTAGAAGCTAAGTATACAACAGTTTAATCTGTGCTTCCCCAACTGGATGAACTAGCTAGTATTTTGCAGAACCCATAAGCACATGACTAATGAATCACAAGCGAAAGCTTGGTTGCAAAGTTCTGTATGAAAATTTGATCATTTTCATAAACTCAAGATTCACAGCTTCACATATTAAGAGTTTCTCTTGTAAAATGGTCATGATGATATTCTACAAGTTGTAGCCAGCAGCATATGGCATAATCTATAAAATATAAACAACACAGAATAGTCACCACGAAAAATTATAACCAAACAGAAAAGTTCAGAAAGATGACATGAAACTGGAATTTGGAACAAACTGTATAAAATGACACAAGAAGCTAAACTGGCTGTTCTGTGTATATTCAAGAGTCAAGACTTACCTTCTGATTCCCACAAGTCAAATCTCACCACCCAACTATCTGAACCAGTCTGTGTGATAAAAAGTCTGTCCACCCATGCTCGGTACTTTTTCCCTTGTTTGTCACCATAACATGATCCCAATGCATCAATGGATGCATGGAGTGAGAGTTCAAGCCCAGCAGGATGGATGATAACTCCATTTGTATGCTAACATAGACAATAAATAAGAAAGAATTCAATTTTACAGATCAATGAAACAGTAACTCGTGCTCTCCTGACAATTTGTTGATATACAAAGTTCTGACAAGTTTTAAGAATAATACAAATGCAAGATGAAACACTACACTATAACATACATTAGGTAAACTACACATATGATACAGAAAGGATTATGAGAGAAGGTACTTAACAAAGAAAAATCAAACTGGAAAGCTATGTACTTACAGTGATGTTTTTGAAGTACTTTATAACTGAATCAGACTTTGGAACCTCAGCCCTGCGCCACTTCTCATAGAGAACGTAGAACTTTACTACAGCATCTGTAGGTTTGAAAGAGGCTTCCTTTGCATAAGGGGACTCCACGTCTCTAGGAGAAATGTTAGGTCCTAGCTTGAAGTGTCCAATAGCTTGTATAATACCAGCTGCGCATCTCTCATTTGCATGAATTATCTTCAGGTTATCCTTCGCGTTCGCTGTGTACCACTGAAGTAGTTCCTCTTGGGCATTGCTGACCTGAGCATTTGAAAATTTTGGAGTTGCAGTAACTATTCAGGTGTTAACTTTGTTAGATACTTGATGCAATGTATTATTCACTGACCATGACACCATGTACACCAGGGATGCTGAATAATTCTGCATCATTACCAGAGTCACCACAAACAAGAGTATTGTTGGGCGGTTTTCCACATGAGCTTAGCTTTTTAAGCAAATATGCAAGTGCTTGGCCCTTTCCAGCTCCTTGAGGTAATATATCAAGGTCCTGGCCACCACTATATATTATTTTGGCATCTAGCTGTTCACAAGAAATAAAGCAGTCAACCATAATGTGTCTCAACATACATAGAGGAAATTATCCAAAACCAAATCACAACAATATAAGATACATGCTGCCTCACCCCACGTTTGTCCAACCTCTCGGCAACAGATTTTATCACTTCCTGGGCACTCTTCTTGTCAACAAAAAAGCTGACCTTGTGCGGGCGCTGTTCTGTCTCTGGCTGTATCCATGCAAATGTAAAAGGCAAAGCAGTATTAATTCCAACCAAAATGAATAGAGATGAAGACACCAGCCATGCATGCAGCAGAACATACCTGAAGCTTCAGCTCAGAAAAGCTCGCAGTTTCTTCTACGACAATATTTCTGTCCCACTTATTGTTCAGATATTCTTCCCAGCCATCATCAGGAACCATTGCCTCCCCATATGTTATCTCAGTGCCAACAGACATGATAGTGATGTCTGGCGTTAGCATAGGCTTCTCTTTCCTCAATTCTTTGTAAAGAGTTGGTGATCTTCCAGTTGAGAAGACAAGTAGAGAATCCTCGCAGTAAACAGATTCCCACAGGGCACTAAACCTAAGCAAGGACAAGTTCTCCTCATCATGATGATCAACCTGCAAGTTTTAGCCATCCCAAAAGAATCAAGATTTTACATACAGATAGCTTAGGGCAGACCAAGATATGAGTTGGAAGACACACTCACCATTGTATGGTCAAGATCTGAAACAATCATAAGACGTGCAGAACCACTGAGCTTATCCATCTTGGCAGTCTGCAACAAAGATGGTTACAAAGTTGAGTAACTAAACAAGGAATTCATGATTTTAGGTAAAATACAACAACAACAACATAGCCTTTCAGTCCCAAGCAAGTTGATTTTAGGTAAAATACAATAACAGTAATTGGTAATTTCATTATGGTGTCAGCGTCATTGGAAGTTGTGAACTGTAACATCACAAAGTGACAAAATAGAAAGTGAAGGTCTAAGTTCAGGGCATGTGAGCACAACTGGTGTATCAATATCATGTTGCATGTTGTGCGTCATGAATTGCCATCAGACATTGTAAATATCGCCCTCAAGATCATCCAAAAATTTACTCACTTGTGCAAGCACCTTATAACACCCTAAATCAGAACGTCCTTCAGTCCATTTTTGCAGACTAATTTGAATCCAGCTTTGCAAGCATAATTCCTATCTGTAGAACTATAGGCTAACAAGGGAAGTATGTATGTATGCATGTAATGAAAACTAAAGCAATTCTAAGGCGAGGTGACAGTTCGCTGATAGCCATCCATTCCAATCGTTCAAAAGTAAATGGCCGAAACGAAACTGCCTAAACGGACAAGGAAACCAAAAATACAAAGTTATTAAGGTAATTTGCTCCAAATTTCCCCGCGGCTCTACTTTCAATCATCGCTTATCTAGCATACGGCACTAGGCGTCCGAAGAGAAAAGCGGAGAGCGGCGGGGCAAACATAGCGCGCACGGGAGATTCAGTGGCACCCCGCAAAATTTTGGAAAAACATACTGATCCGGCGGTTTAGTCCGCTCCGCATCAACAAAAAATGGGAGGATCCAAAAACGAAGAAACGATCCCTTACAGACGCGAGGAGAGATCGATCCGAGTTCTGGATAGCGGTGTGGAGGGAGACGGGGCGAGGTAGAAGGAGCGAAGGCGGTGGTGGAGAACGGAGATGTTTTTGGATCCCAATTCGCTGCGGTCCGTTACTTCCTTCGTTTCTCCTTTTTCGGCTCCTAGGTTGCGGTTTGCTGCGGAATATGGATGAGGCTTTTACACGTGTGACCGCATATATATGCCACCGTTTTGAACTTCTCGGCTCTTCAAGCCATTTCATCCGGATTTCGTTCATTTTTTACCATTTGTGAGTCCTGATAAGTGGGTCAGGTCAGTCAAAAAGTCCATAATACTCCTCTCATCCCTATCCTCTCTCTCAAACTCGACCTCATCTCTCTTCTCCGCGCGCGCCCCTGACGGAGCTCGCCCACGCCCGCGGCTGGCCGGGGCGGAGCTCGCCCGCGCGCACCCGCGGCGGCCGGGGCGGAGCTCCCCCGCGCCCGCGGCGACCGAGGCGGAGCTCCCCCGCGCCCACGACGGCAGGCCGAGGCCGAGCTCGCCCGCGCGCGCCTCCATGCGCGCTGCGGCAGATCCACGGCGAGGACCGACTGCGGTAGCTCCACGCGCGCAGCCTCCTGGCTCTCGCCGCCGCCGTTGGGGACGAGGCCGCCTCCCTGCACACCGGGGCCCTCGCCGTCGCCGTCGGGGCTCGTGTCGGTGTGCGAGGGGGAGCTCCGCCCTCGGCTGCTGCTGCTCCCCTTTGCTCACCCTGTCCATCCCCGCCATCTCCTTCTTCTTGGCCGCGGTGGCGCAGGAGGCGCGCCTGCACCTCGCCCGGGCGCGGAGCGCCCGACGGGCACGCCCACGGCCGCGAGCACGACGAGCTCCACCAACGCGAAGGGGAAGCAGCAGCACACCGCCTGCGCCACGACGACGAGCAGGAGCACGGGAGCGCGGAACGGAGGCGCAAGAGAAAGAGAGAGAGAAAGAGAGTTTGGGTGGCTGACAAACGGACCCCACCGTAGGGTAAAATGGTCATTTTACCTGTCGGTTTGACACCGTTAAGTAGAAAAACGGACGGAATGGCTTGAAGAGCAAAGAAGTTCAGAACGGTGGCATATGTGTGCGGTCAACTTTTTTAATGGCCTATGTGTAATTACAAACTTTTTTAATCGCACACATGTAAAAGCCTCAATATGGATGGTGGTGCCGCCTCCTCGGTCCTTTCGCGGTCTCTGAGGCAATCGCGATTTAAAATACAAGACATATTCGTATTTTGGATAGCACGTTCAATTCTTATTTTTATCTTCTCCAATAACAAGACCTAAAAGATAACTCTTTCTGCAAATGGGTCTAAAGAAGAAAGGATACTCAGATTTACGTTATACTTCTCCCGACACCCAAAATGAATCTTACTCTGTTGGAGGCTATAGCTATTATATTGAAGATCTATTTTGGATTTGGGTTCCGCAACGGATGTTCGTTGGAGACAGCCTCACACCGCATCGGGTTATGCTGGTCCGAGATTTGATGCCACATGGGCACGTAGCCACCCTTGGACGCCATAAATTTGTTTATATATATATATGACGAGGCTAAAATGCACCTGAGTGCATTCTGTATAGCAAATGCACCCGACCGCGAGCGAGAGCCATGAGATGTGCGGAGCGCGGCGAGCACGAGCCGTACCGGCGCGGAGTCCGACCCGGTTGACCCGCGCGCCTGTACAGGCCCTGGGCGTTGTCCCTCAGTTGCAACTCATCCCTTCAACTGATTGCAACTTCCGTCATACACAAATTGCAACCTTGGTGGTAGGCTAGTTGCAACTGCCCTTGACGGCTGGTTGCAGCTCCGTTTGTATACCAGTTTCAACTCAGCCCGTCAGCCGATTGCATCTTCAGTCGTACACAAATTGTAACTCATCCCTTCAACCAATTGCAACTTCCGTCATACACAAACTGCAACATTGGTGGTAGGCCAGTTACATTCCGGTTGGGTCGGCCAGTTGCAACCGCCCTGGACGGCTGGTTGCAGCTCCGTTTGTATACAAGTTCCAACTCAGCCCGTCAGCCGATTGCATCTTTAGTCGTACATAAATTGCAACGCATCCCTTCAACCGATTGCAACTTCCGTCGTACAACAAATTGCAACTCGTCCGCACGCTCGCTGTGTGCCTGCCTCACTGCGTGGTGGGGCGGTGTTGGCGTGGGAGAGGGTAGAGGTGTGTGGTCCGCACCTGATTAGTGGGTTAGTTGGGCCGGTTGTCCAGACAAGGCACGCTGGTTGGCCTGGGTGCATTCTATACACAGAATGCACCCAGGTACAATATAGCAAAACAGTTTATATATATATAGAAATTCTATACGAAGCATATATTTTTTTCAAAGGGGATGGAGACTTATATTAAAACTTAGCATAGTATATCGCTAAACTATCTACAGCCACCTAAAAAATATGCAAAGGGGATCGTTTGCGCATCGCCACGCGCCCGCCCTATACGGTAAAAAACCGACGCCAAAAAAACCCGCCCCCGTCATATACGGTAAAAACGACACAATAAAAAACAATCCAAAATAAAAACATATACCGCAAAAAAAAGCCCTGCCCCCGCCCTATACGCGTCCCCGTTTCCGGGAAAAAAACGCCCTATACAGCAAAAAAAAGTATACTGCAAAAAAAACACCGTCTCATTTCAAAAAAAATCAAATACGGCGAAAAAAAATTTCGGGAAAAAAAAAGTTTCTGACAAATAAAATACGGCAAAAAGGAAAAAACAATGGCAGGATAGGAAAAAGTGGAGGGTTCTAGGTGGAAAAATGCAATAATGCAAAATTGTTTAATAGTTTGTTAATATTTTTTGAAAATGATCAAATCCTTCGCAGTAGACATGGACAAAAAAACGTGGCCCCGTGCAACACACGGACACATATCTAATCCATAAAAAATACAATCTTTTTTCTAGATTCTTCCATCAATTCTCCTCTAGCGGCTTTTTCTCGATGTAGACGATGCTCTAGCTAGATACTTGATAGGTTCTTGTTGAATAGTGTAGTTCAACTTCTACTTCAAAATAATATAGGCTGTAAAATCCAATGTTTGAAAACCAATCCAAAAAGGATATCGACAGTGATGAAAGAATATCAACAATTGCATCATTGGATATAATATAGACCGTAGATTCGTCAACTCCAACCTTTGTGTGACACCCCTGGAGTTACGAGCTTGCTTAACAAGTTTCCGGGTTAAAAAAATTATAACGCACGTGAGGCGAAAAACAATTTCCAGAAACAAGGATCAAACATAACTTGTATTTAGTACTTAAATATTTTACTCCTATGGGTTAGTATAAGGTATGGACTATCGCATAAAACACTTGTTGGTAGAAGTTAATAGAGTTTAGGCCTTTTAAAATTTGTAACAAAAGTGTTAATGGTTGTTAGTTTGAATTGAATTCTTAACTTTTCTAAGTATGGAAAAGTAGTAAGACAATTCTATTTTGATATTTAATTTCTAACAAAAATGTTTAAACACTAGCTGCATGTTTTGGTATTGTTGACTGCATCAAAGTGAATGCTTGAGCATGGCTTAGGTCGAAGTAGTGTTGGAGGTCACGTTGCTCTCGTAAAAATTACCCAAACTTCGTTGGAACGCGTTGTAACCATGTTGATTGGTGCTCTATTCGTGAACCGGCACTCCAGCGACGAATCCAAGTTGGCATCCTTTTATCTCCCGCTCTGGTTGCTCTTGGGTCATGATGATTGCTCCTCTAGCTAGCTGGTAGTGTCGACTTTAGGATAGTAGGATTGGTTGGACTTCGGTTGAGATGATCGGCATTCTTTGCTTCGCTTTAAAAATGCGTGCACGGCACCGAGTGCAGCCGCTCGCCCTAAGTCCACGGTCACCGTGCGCGCGGACGTTGTGGGTGTCGGTCTCACGCCATGGCGGGGTCACGGTCGTGGATCAGCCATGTGCACGGATGGTGCCTCGCAGCGCCTCGGCCTGGCGTTGGCCGGCCCCGACTGGCCGCGGTCTTGCTCCCGCTGTGCCGTGCGCTGGGCCGAACCGAGGCTGCGGCTGCCATCGCTCGGTCGACATGGCGTCCGCCTCACCCCTCGTATCACCTACCGCGTCGTGCCCTTAGCGTATGCCGCTGCCGCCATGTTTGGTCGTTGGCCCGGTCACAGGGGCGATGGGATGCCTACCTGCCTCATTTGCCCTCGCTAGCCGACGCCGGTGCGACCAGCTCGGGTCCGGCCGCTCTAATTCAAGCGCGTCGCGTCGAGCCGCCTGGTCTCGTCACTTGTGTACATGAGCTCGCTCTGCCACCATCGACCGGAGCCCCGCTTTAACACGCCCTACCCCTCAAGCTCGTCCGCATGCTTTTCCCCACAATGTGGCCTTAGCCTGGGCACCGCGCCCGCCTTTCAAATTCGCCAAGCCCATGGTTTCTCAGCCCATCTCCTCACGTCAGTAAGAAGCAGAAGAAGTTAGCTAGATGCCCCACTCTCGTCGGGTCTAGCGGTGGTCTGGCCATAGCCAATTTTGGATTTTGCTCGTCGTCGGTCATGTGCGCCGCCGTGACCAGAGGGTTGGGGGTAAGTCCTGTTGGAGTGGTAACAGTTCAATTGCTCGTAACACTGAGTTCGCCTTGACTCCCTCCATTCGTTGCTCGCGTTATTTTGGCTAGGGTGCTCGTCGTCGGTGGGGTGACACACCGGTGACCATCGTAGAGCGGCGCCGTCTCGCTCGGTCGCACGTGGCCAGACCATCATAGCGCTCCCCTGCTTCAACCGTCAGTAGGGCGTACACCACAATGAGCCACTAATGCCTATCTGCCACTTCTACCCTGCTAAGCGTACGTAGGCTCGTCGGAACAGTCGCGCCGCCGTCGTGGATAGCTGCTCGCCGCTACAACGCGCGATAGTGCACCTCCGAGTCCCTAACCGCCACCCATCCTTGCACGTTTAACTGTAGATGGTGGTCGGGCCCTTAATGCCGTCGTAGCCAGCCTAGTTTGCCCGACGTAACTGCCTTGTGCCGTCGGCAGCCGCACTGGCGTGTGCGAGGATACCAGGGACCTCCCCGTGGTAAAGGCAAAAACATCCAACGGATTGGTTGCAAAGTTACTGATAGTAGGAATAGTGTGCATAGTAGTCGTATTAATCTCTGAAAGCTCAGGGGCCTTTCTGCAAAATAGCCAGCGCGCGCGGGCGCCCCCGGCCTTGGGCCGTACTGGGCTGCCACGACACGCGCGCAGCCGCACCGCGCTGGGCTGTCGGGCCAGAAGGTGTTGCTGCCGGCCCTTTCCTTTTTCTAATGTATTTTCTAATTTATTTTCTACGGTAAACTTATAAATTCAATATAAGATTGTGTAGTTAACCAAAAATTGTGAAACCAATTTTGTCAAGTTTCTAAAATCATGATCTATCTGTTAGTATGTTTTGTTCATATAGTTTTATAATATTTTCAGAAGTGATCTAATTAATTTGAGGTGCCTAATATTGTTAAGATATAAACTTGAAGGAATTTTTGTGATAAATTGGTGATAGTGTTGGCTCTGGAATTTTCACAGTAAATTCCTAACATTATTAGGTGCTCACTATAATTTTTGTAGCTCTATAATAATTAGTTTGCTAAGGTAGCTAAATGAGCCCTAGTTCGAAAATATATATTTAATCAATAAAATGTCGAAACACCTTAGGATTTTAGAACTAAAACATTTTTCCGGAGACGAAGCCTTACTTGACGATGTGGATACGTAGACCAGTTCGTTAGTCATTAAAGCTAGCTCGTTAGCTTACGGAACGTAATCATATATTTAAGAGTTGCGGTTACCGTTGATTAATTGCGTCTCTGCATTGCATCCACGTATATCATAATAGGAACAACGATGGATTAGGGAGTCGACTGAAGTAGTGGAAAAGATGGTGCCTTGATGATCGTATCACCATGATGTACTACTAACTTTTGGTTATATCTTACCCAGACAAGCCCCGATGCATAACATCTATTATTGTGCACTTTATCTTATGTTTGTGCATTAAGTTTTAAGGAGTTGAATGAAAACCACTTACATATATATATATATCCTTATCATATGGGTCCTACTAGTATGTCAGGATTGTGTAGATTATTATGCTATAGGATCCGGTGGAAGTCGAGTGATTACCTGTCACTCGCGAGAGATAGGAAAGATATTATTGTTATTATTATATTACTATTACATGGAATATATATGGAGGATAATTGGAGACCGGGCGGAATGGTACTTTGGATCTAGACTTGGTTAGGCATTTGAGCGAGGTTCGGATTGCACATGTTCCGCCTGTGTTGATTGAGGATCGACCGTTGCTATGGATGGTAGTCAGGTCACAGACTTATTATCCTGAGCACATACTTGCTTATGGGAGCGGGAAGGCTCGTTACGCTCTTGTCGCGGGTTCTGGCTCTTTCCGGACCGACTGATTGGAGGCGGAAAAAGGTGGAGGTCTAAGCACCATATTAAGACCGGATCTCAAGTGTGGGGGCTTAGAGTCCAAGTTTGGATGGGGACCTAGACCCTGTGACAAGAGTGGAATGGGTTAGTCTTGCTTGTGCCTGGGGCACAAGCGGGGTGTGTGTTTCAGGGTACCCAGCTGGGATACATTGATTCACGAATCGTCGTTTTTGTGAGACGGTACGACTTGGCTATGGTCTAGCACCGTAGTAAGAACTAGAACTTGAAAGGTGATAAAATGATTCTGATTGCTTACCACCTGCTTGAAAGTAGCATAGGTGCTTACATAGAATGGTTAGTTAATGAACTAATAATGACAGCTAATAAAATAGAATATAAGGACGCACGCTTAGTAATGCTTTCGCATATGCAATAACCCTCAAGCCAGATAGCCTTGCATATCCTTAGAGTCTTTTATTTTCCTCCTGTCGGGTAAGTCTTACTGAGTACAGTCGAGTACTCAGGATTTTATTCTCCTGTTGTAGGTGATCGGAAGATACCTAGAGCTGACTCTTGTGTGTGGAAACCTCCTGGTGGGCTCAAAGAGGATTCCTTTCACGCTATGACCGTAGTATTTATTTATAACCCTTACGAAAGGTTTTTATAAGAAAATATATAAAATCTGCTAGCATCTCTTGTATAAAAATGTCCACTATGTTAATGCTCCACCACGTCGTTAAATTAATCCTGCTTCCTCTGTAACTCTGATAACATTGTGATATTCAGCTGTTATAATAAATTGAGGTAATATTCTGGTACTGTAATAAAGTGATGTAAGAAATGACTTAAGATTGTTGTAAGCTTTATTCTCTCATTTATGATCCTGATGGAAAAATGTGGATTTTCGAGTTCTCTCTTAGGGTATGCTCGACGAAACTACGTAGTTTAGTATCCTCTCTTGGGTACTTAGTGTCTAATGGAAGACAAGTACTCTAGGAGGCATTAGATTAGACGGTTCTGCCACACTTTGCATCGTGTTGGTTATTTGATTTCCTCTTCACGACCATTGGCGTCGATAATTCTATCGATGAAATCGGCATATGCAATGACGATCTTGTCGTGGCAACCACCAAAATCATCTAGGTAATAAGATTCTGACTAAAAATTATGTAATTTTATCGGTAGATTTATTTGGACTAAATCCAATCAAAATAGATTTAATGGCCTAATGTAAACGAGAGATGTATCTCCTCTCTTTCTAGAATGAGAGAGAGAGAGAGACCTAGGCAGCGTCAAGGGGCCTAAAAGGGATAGAAAGCTGCTCATCATATGAAAATGTGGGTTCTTATATTTTTATCTAATAAGTTAAATATATATTTAATTTTGACAGTCGATATCTTAAATGTTGAATATCATAACACGAAGATTGGTACTACTGAATTAATTAAAATATATAATTATTTATTTAATAAATTTAAAAGTATATGTTGAAGACATGGCCCAAAGTAAACATGTTTGGTTTAGAACAAATGTACAGACTTACTACCTCCGGTCAATAAAATATAGATTTTTCTATGGAGGTACCACGTATCAGTTTCATTTGTACAGTGGTACAGATTTTTGCATTATACAGAATTGCCATTACACCATTGCCATTATATTTTTATCGAAACGTAAACTGCTATTGTAATGATACAATAATAGTTAGTTTCTAAGTTTACACTTAATTACTCGTTACATTCTGTGTGTCAACCGATGGTGACAGATCAACAGTATGATCAAAATCACCTCTATTTGATCGTCAGATTCATAATATTTTTCACATTCTGGGCATGAAATCTCCTATAGAATTATTTGCGATCAGAAACAAGTCGCACAAGGACCTGATGCTCCCCATATGAGAACATGTTTAACAGTTGGTTCTCCAACCTGAATAAGCTATGTGTATGTACCACATGGCCAAATCGGCACAAACGTTTACCATGACGGCAAGCTCTGTTTTTTTTTCATAACATTCCACAAGCTCTGCTGAAATGGCAGTTCAGTGTGCACGTGCGCCAATTGTATCTTGTATCCTTTGTTTAAGTTTCTACAAATTCATTCAAGTTGCTCACAGCTCTCTATAGCTAGCTTATCTTGCAAGTTACAAAATCCAAGGTGCATAAACAATGAAGCCAATGCAACCACCAATGGGATGATAATCCACAAGCTTTCATGATTCAGTCGGCACTGCCAAGTGGTGGTCTCCATGCAGCGAAGCCCTGCAGACCAGGATCCTCCTCACCTTGATCAATGGTGCCTGTGCCGATCTTTTTCACGAGATGAATGCGAACTGTAGTAGTCAACCCGGTCTGAAAACGTAACACGAAAGCAACATAAGAAACACAAGTCCTGAATTTCACAGCTCGGGGCCATCAACAGAGCCCGCTGCGAAAATATAACATACCTCGTGATGAATGGCGCCTTGATTTCTCCTTGTCTGAGTGTCCTGCATTCGAGATACAATGAGTCATCTGAGAATACTACAGGACACTTTGAATACTCCCTCTAGTCACAAGTGATGTTTTGGACATTGGCAATCTTCAAAATGTGACCTTGACTACTACATTTTGTTACAAAATATCTATAAACAAGCAAAAGTATACTTTTTATAAAACTAAATTTTGAAAGTAACACGATCAAACAATTTTCAAATATCAAAACTCAACCCATCAAAAGTAATATGCAACCGAAGTTTAAATATGCTGAGGACAACCCTAAACGCTTCTTATTTTTTGACTGGAGGAGTAAGATAACTAAAAATCTGATTGGTTCCCAGCAATACCTGAACTTCTTTCCCTAGAGCGACGTCTCCGGTCCCTCTGGCGATCATTGTCACGACCCCTGCTATCACGATCAGAATCCCTACCCCGGGCATCATGTTCCCGCCCTCTTGATCTCTCTCTTTCTCTTTCCCGACTCCGGTCAACACCAGAATCAGACTTCTCATTTTTCGAGTTCGCCACCTGGTTTTCTTTTCCATCAAGTTCAGCGGACAATGGTTTACCTTCGTCATCACTTTTTTCCTTCACCTTGTTTGGTATAGTCTTAGTCACTGAATCCTTCTCCTGGCTAGAACCTGAGGGTATAGGGGTACCCTTATCGCTAGCAACTGCAGTTGCTAGACTTTCCTGAAGATGAATGCAAATAAAATCAGTTCTCATTCTTTAAAAGATAACTCTATCAGATTCAGTATGATTATTTTGAATAGTATTCTTTGCTAACCTTTGAAGCCTGTGGATCAGAGATTCTCCTAACAGTAAAGGAATCATTGTCTTTATACACTGGAATGTATTGAGACTTGGGCAAGCTGTAGAGGTGAGCAAGAACCCTGCAAACTTCCTGAATTCCTGCTTCATCAGCATCAAAGACAGTCCACCATGGAGGATCTTCAGGAAGGGGAACACGGTGTCTCCTAGCTGCAGCATACACAACTCCACATGCTACTACTTCACTCTTAAATCGCACACACAGAGTTGTCCTTAAGCTGATATACAAAACATATATATAAAGAATATGTTAGTACTTAGTACAAACACAGATTTAACTGCAAAAGGAAAACACAAGAAACCTATCTGATGACATGGAAGATCTGCAAGCTCCAGGGTCACTGACTACATTCAAAGCCCAAAAGGATTGTGAATCCTCAGTAGATAAAAATGTGTCATGGGCAAAATGAATTTTAGTTCCCCAAAGAAGTCATGGCGGTGTGATGTCATGTGGACAAAGTTTTATAGTCTTATATTGTGACTTTTTGGTTTGCAACTTTCACTCTCAGCTCATTATTAAAATATGTCTAGGGTATATCGTCTTTAAAAAGCCCATCGCTTGCAGGTTTGGGTTCATTTTCCTCTATTCATTTCTTCATTAGCCCTTTATATTTTGCATAGTTGCCTGTGTTGATATATTTGTAATGCTCAACTGATGGTTACATGCTTTAAGAGGGTTGCAAAGAAATAAATAATCAATAGATCCACTTGCCCAAACAAACACAGGGCAGCATAAATTGGAAACAAAAAGGCTCACTTGATTTAATGGGAAAGCATATCAGTGAAAGAAGTCCTCCAATGGATAAACCAAAAGACAGTATTGCATGTCATGGTCAGTCAGACAGAGACAGGGGGCGATATGGACCTAGGGCCAGTGGGGCTGAGGCCTGAAAATCCCCTTTTCCACCCTTAAGATTTCTAGTCCAAGTCGAGGTACCCCTGGGCGTGGCCCAACATTTCTTCCACTCCCAAGTGGCCAAGTCCCACCCAGCTAGCTGACTGAATCAAAGGGCACAAGGCAGCAGGCTCCCTACACGTGCAGGGTGTGTGACTCGGCATGTCCCTTCTCTTGCTCTCCCGTCTCTCTCTTCCCATCCCTCTCCGGAATCAAAATCAGAAGCCCTCTCCCAAATGGGAATCAGAACCCTAGGCGCCGCATGGCAGTGTGTCAGACCAGGCGACAGCACGCAAAATCAAAGCAGGGCCAGCTGTCGTGCTCCTGCTGGGCATGAATCGTCGGGGGCCAGTGGTCGGGTGGGCGGACACCAGCCACAGCAAGGTGACCTGACGTTGCATCGTCGCAGCATGGACAGGGCACTGCAATCAGCAGCCAGGTCATTGGCAGCACCGCAGCCACCAGAGGCAGGCAGGCAACTGGCACTGTAAGATAATCCGCTGCTCCCTTTTGATCTTTTGCTGCAGCAGAGAGTTGGTATTTTGGTCAGCTCTTGCTGTCCATCTAGAGTACTGTAGAGGTATGGCAATAGGCCAACCTTGTAGTGGCATACATCAGCCATGTCGTAGTAGTTGGGAGGTTGAGCTAAGCCATTTACTAGTTAACCATATAGTTGGTGTTAGACTTGTAATATATACTAGGCAATGTAATTGAGCAAAGCAGTTTTCCTGCACTTGTGCCTGTGCAGTGCGTGTGTGGTGTTCTGAGCTCACCCTTCTTCTACCTCTAGCAGTGAGTTGTGAGTGTGGTAATTGATCACCTGTGTAGGTGGCTGGATTGCCAACAGGCACTCCACTGTCCAGTCTCCAGCAAGACAGCATAATCGGGTGAATTCCCCATTCGGCCATTCTCAAATCCCAAGTTCTATTTCAATGTTCAATTCCCCCAATCCACAAATTCCCCATGGATAATTATGTATCTTTCTCAATTTGTATAGAGTTGCAAGATGAAGAGGACCAGTACATTAAAATCTGTTTTTTTTTTCTCCTATGCCAACTATTCAATCAATGTCACAAAACCAACCTTCTGCCCAGCAAAATCAGAGTCAGAGGTAGAAGATATGAGAGGCGAGGATAAACCAAATCATCATTAGTTAGTTATTTTACCACTTCCATATTTTCATCAAGTATATTGTGCATTTAATGGTGGCGTACCCAGTGCAGAGAGCTCCCGCGCTGTGCGGGGTCTGGGGAAGGGTGTTAGTGGCAAGCCTTACCCTCACCTGTGCAATGCGAGGAGACCGTGACTCGAACCCGGGACCTTCCGGTCACAGGCGGTAAGACTCTACCGCTTGCACCAGGCCCGCCCTTCTGTGCATTTAATGGTGGGATTTAAATATATCATATAAAAATATGCATTTATGCCTTAGTTTTGTTATCTATGAGTATTTGACCCGGTGCAAGTGGTTTACGCACTTAGTGGTCCTAGGCGTGAAAATTAACCAGCTCGGCCACTGCAGTATTGTAGGCCCATTAGATATAGGGCTAGGGACAAGATTAGATATCTTGCTTAGGCATCAAGTTTGCCTCTCTTTATAAGGAGAGGAGATATATCGATCAAGTTAAGCAAGATCATTGTTTATGAGGCGTCGCCTAGGCGACGAGGCGTGCTGCGGGTGTGGGGCGTCGGGGTCGCCACGACCTCGGGGTGTATGGCGTCCGCCTTATACGATTAGGCGTCCGCTAGACGTGGAATGGCGTTGGGCAGACGCCTATAGGACTGCTGCGGACGCCAGACATGAATCTGCGCAAGGGACAGGGGGAGTCGAGCGGTAGGCACCAAATTGACCGCAGGAAAGAAAATCGGGTTGGAATCGAGCGCGCCATAGGGGAAAAGGGGGGAACTGACCGCATATGTGCTCTTTGAGTGGGAAATCGCCCGCTTGGAGCCCAAGCAACTTCAGGGAGAGAGGGGGAGAGGAAAAGAGAAGGCGACGAGCGGAACTGAGCTCTTGGCGGCAGCAGCGGCGGCCCTGCATCTCCGCTTGGGTGCTCCTCTATTGAAGTCCACCTCCTCTATTCGAGCGGCCATCGCCGTCCGCAGGTCCACCCGCTTCGAGTCGCCGTCACGTTCCACAGGTCCATCCGCACCGCACCTATCTGTCCGCTTCGAATCTGTCCACACCTGTAACCCCTGCCTCATCCCGTGTTTTGGCTCACCAAATCTCCCAGCTGTCTGCCGCTTTTCATATTTGTTTGCTCTGCCTTTGCTCATACTGGTGCGTGTACTCTGCTCTAAATACAGTGTACTGCTTTTTATATTATATTATTGGCCTGTCACGTACCCACATACGGAGTAGACTAATGCCTGCTTGTGCTTGGGTTGTTATTTTCTTTGACCATTACATAACACAAAGCGGATCTTTCTTTGATTAGTATAATATCGATTTGGTTCTTTCTTTAATCTTTACACTTTTACAGAACACAAAGTTGAAGTTTTTTTCCTTTGATTAGTATAATACTTACTGATTAGTACTCTTAGCTGTAATAGTATGTGCTAGCCTCAAGAATTGGGAATAAACAAGGTATGTATGTGCTGCACTACTATCTACAATTCTAGCTTATACAACGCCTTTATGGCGCCTAAAATGTGCATATGGCGTCGCCTAGGCGTCCACCATAAACGCCTAGGTGTTGTGAAGAGGGTCTGGCGCAGCGCCTCACCACAACGCCTCAAAAACCATGAACAAGATATCATTCTATTAGGGTTAGTCAACTTCTATCCCTGCCCTTCTGGTGCAGGTAACATTGCATTTAACTCAAATTCATACTGAGCTGATGTATCAAAGTCACAATCAACTTAAAGTGAAACATGCAAAAATATTATCCTACATGCCCCAAAAATAAAGAATAAGCAGATCACATTACAGTCCATAACTGCAACAATAATTTTAGTTGCAATAAAATTGATAATCTCATAATGTGGAATCAGAAGTACCTATCATTGGCAAGGTTCCATGCCTCTTGAGTAAGCTCCGGAGGGACTTCGAGTGTTGCAAGGTAGTTTGATATGAACTTATGGGGGTGCTCGACATGGCAAATAAACCCCATCTCCTTCAACAGATGTCGTTCTGTCCGTATCAGGTCATGCCTCAGTTCTGTATATTTCTGTAGCAAAGGTTAGAATCACAGTGCATCTTCCAGCCGCTACAGTATTTCTCTCTCACACAACCAGCCGCTACAGTGTTTTGGCTTATTTTTTCAGACAAACGAACGGGGCCATAAAGTCAAGCTAAATAGTGTACAGACGTTTTACAAGAAAAGAAACTGAAACTAGTGAGTTGAACAAAATATACCTTTGAATGAACATCTAAGAATTCAATTGGCAAGTTTTCTCTCCTACATTCCATTCTGTGGAAGACAAATATAATATGCTTTGATTTCCTGGGACTCTCCTCCAACTTCCCTGCCAGCCAAACACAGCTAGCAGCAACTCTCTGCAAGCATAAATAAAAAGGCCCATTAGTTCCACTCTGAAAAGACTAAGAATGGCTCAATGAGAATAAGTGAATAACTGCAGATAAAGATATTTACTTTTGCACTGAATCGAACAAATGATTTCTTGCAGTAAAAGCGATGGAACAGTACTTGTGCCGTGGCCATCACTGCTTGTGGTCTTTGTTGGTCAAGAATACACAAAATACATAATTTTTAATAAATAAATACAAAAGAAAACAAAATTCTCAGAGAATGAGGTCCAGTTATGTTTGAGATTGCATGGGAAAGTTGCAATCTCCTAACAAGAATTCTCTATTTGTTAGTAAAATAATTATCAATACCACTGGAACATTTAATATCATGAAGAATTGATCATTGTGAATTTGTGATGTCCATAATGCTGACAGAGTTTTTTTGCTTCAGCATATCATTTATAACAGAGGTTCACCCATGCTGCTTTCTGTAGTTCTAAATCAAATAGAAGATGGCATCAAATCTCTATATTCTTCAATCATCCTTTTCTTTTTATATTTTACTGTTACCAAACAGGATGAACCTAAGATAGTATAATAATGACAAGAAGGAAGAGTAATAGAATAGTAACACACACACACTATTATTCACTAAAGTATCCTCATATCCTGCAAGTACTGTATTTAATTGACAAGGAAATCATGAAACAACAGACAAACCATACCTAATAGATGTACATAATCGATAGTGGTCCATCTCCCTATCATTCTACCCAACAAAAAGTGCACATTGCAGAGTTGGAATATAACAACATCATAGTGACTTCAGAAGAAGCTAACTCTACCACTAAAACAACATCTGGAGAAAGAAATCCAGAGGCGGCCAAAATTCATCCAGTCACAAGTTACCACTTGCCACCAACTATTCCTTAATTAAGAAAGAAACCTACTATTACTTATCTGCTACAGTAGGTTAGCCAGAGAATTCAAAATGGAAACACCTAATTGATCCAAACCCACACACCTACTGAACAACATACCCTAATCCCAAGGGTAATCAATGGATCTACTGCTGAAAGAAAGCAAGTAACCTAGAAATCACACTGTAGAGAACTCAATTGATAATAAGTCGTCAAACGTAAGCTAATTAACAAAGCCCTAGGAACCTTGAGAAGCCCCTATAAATGGCTTAACGACAGGATTTGGACATAGGAAGCCGGATTAGCGAGAGGAAGTGAGGAATGCAGGAAAAAAGGATACAGCCTGAGGAGGATGCCGCTCTCCTGGATGAGGTCGCAGCCGTAGACGCGGAGCGTGGTCTCGGTGGCCTCGTCGATCCCATCCTTCCGCGACGGCGAGTCTCGCAGCTGCTCGTCCGTCAGGTAGAACGTGTCGATCGCCGTGTATATCATCCTTCTACTAGGGCGGCCTCGCCGCCTGCCGCTCGCCGCCCCCCCCACCGTAGGCCCCCGGCTCGCCTCACCGCCCGCGTCTGCCTGAGCCGGAGCCGGCCCCGCCGCCTGCCCTAACGGCCGGCGAGGCGATGCGATGCAAAGCAGCCGTAGGGAGGTAGCTGGTGCGATGGGGACGGGAACGGGCTTAATAGAGCAAATTTGTTTTATGCCATTGAAACTTATACTGTGTGTTATGGCCATTGAAAAATATGAGTTCGTTTCTTATGCCATTGACTTCAATTTTTTCTAGACTTAGCTGCCATTGCCGTTAAATCCCGTCCAAAATTCCCGTTAATGCATCTGGGCGCCTGTTCGTTTCCGGCGCGTAACTTTTTTTTTATCAGGTACACGCACATAATCCACGTACTTCACACTCACACGATGTGTCCATACACACGTAAAGAAGAGATTGAGAGGCTCTGCAGCCTCCAGTGCACGAGAAACGCGTAGTACCATCGAACGCACACACATGCATGTACCCCTAAATTTTCTACAAATATTAACAAAGGCCCACGTGAGCATGCTCCGTACATCCAGATAAATACTGTCATTGTGCCGGCATTACGTAGCCTTTTACCTATGTGTCGTTACGAAAGATGGTTCTAACCTACAGAACGCACATTGGTGTCATGACGTTAAACTTTCTTGCCTTCCACGTTGTTCCGTCCAATTTTGCATCTGATGGTGTCGACAGCTGCTTGAAAAGTCCAAACTAACCCTAGGTCTGAACACTACGCAAAAAAAAAACACACGCACGGACGCGTTAGTGGCCAGGCACGCTTGCGAGATGGGGCCTCTGGTGCCAGCCGGCGTCAAGGGTCCCGGCAAAGACGTGTGGCGGGTGGGAGGGTCGCGGATGCTGACCACACCGCCGAGGAGGTCGCCCGCCAGCTGGTGCCGGTGGAGTCGAAGAAGTCTTGCGAGGGCCACGAAGCGCAGCAGAGAGCTCTGGAGGCACGAGGGACCTTGAGGAAGAAGAAGAGCTCGCGGCGCGTGCGCACAACAAAGAGTCTTGAACACGGCCGCATGGGCGAGCTCTGGTCCGGACGCGCCCCGGCCACCACGAACGGCACGCGTGAGCACGGACCGCCGTGCGCGACCATGCCGTGGTACGACCCAACGGGCGCGCCGTGGGCATTGGCGCGCGCGAGCCCCGTGAGGAGCGAGGTCCAGGTGACGACGTCCCGGTGCGGCATTTTGTCGAACAGGGCCCGCGCGATGGCACTAGCGCGAGGCAGCTTGGCGTAGGCGTCGACGAGTGGGTGAGCGAGCTCTGCCGCGCCCACCATGGCGCAGCGAGACCCGGCGATCTGGGGCGCGCCGTGCTGCAGGGCTTCGCGTGGCGGCGCTTGGCTTAACGCGGCAGCGAGACAGCGGACCGGCGGACCCGGCGAGGCACCCCGCGGAGGTGTCGGTCACCACCCGGCTGCCATTGGCGGGCGAACCAAGCCATCCGGGCACCGCCATCGCTTCGCCGCGAGCAAGCGAGCGCAGGCGGGCCACCGCCGCCGTGGGCACGAGCAGGCAGCCTAGGCTGGCCGTTGCCGCTGCCCGGGCCGTGGGCCCCACGTGGTCTGGCTGGTGGTGGTAGCCGCAAGCCGCGTGCTCCCCTCTCTGTTTCCAGCTTGGCATGGCAAGCCCAGATCCTCAGGATTCAGCTCGCGCTACTCTTCTTGAGGAGGAAGAAGGTGTAGGAGTCGCTGACAGCTTGCCCCCACCCGGCGGAGAGAGAAAGAGGCAGACGATGAGGTTACGATAGAAGGGCATTTTAGACGTTTTCACTGGCTAGATCCACGTGTCGGGACTGGCAAACGGCAAAAACCAGACGGAAGGTGGACGGAATGGTTTGTGAGGCAAAAAAAAGTATCGTGGCATATAGGTGCATTCGAATTTTTTAGTGGCACGTAGGCCGCAACCATCTTTTATAATGGCACACAGGTAAAAGGCTCCGGTACGTATAGTACAGATGTTCTTATCAACCCTAAAAGGTGTTATGAGATAACAACTAACTTATACATGACATGTCATTGCCACTTTATTATGTGAACCTCACATGTAAATGATTTTTTATTCTATATCTTCTCCTCTCCCTCTCTCATTCTTTATGAGCAGGTTCATAAACCACGTCGTTTTCTGAGCGAGATACACGTTGAGATAAGATATAGTCTCTTTTGTTTTTCATCTTTTCTCTCTTTTACGTCAGAAAAATGCTGACATGAACTTCTATATAAACTAGCTGAAGTTGTTGGGGACGCGAGAGGAGCGTAGCCCAGAGCAAACACAGGCCCTTGCATTGGTCAGATACTCAGATGTCCCGCGAGGCCGCCAAACGTGCTGCAGAGTGTAGACTCTTTCGTTCCACAGGCCTCACCCTCGCGCGCCGCCGAGGATCCTCCGGTCCGGTTTGCGCCCGATTGGATTGGATCCCCTTGTTGTGTTCCCTGGATCTACGCGCAGCCAGCCACACACCACTAGGAGACGGAGAAATCGTAGACCAACTGCAAGACCACGAGCGAGAGGCGCCGGCGCGTTCGCGTCTTTGGTTTCTGGCTGATCGATCGTTCCGGAGGGCAGGGAGGGGCACCAGCGAGGACTAAAAAGCCGAAGGGCTAGGAACCCGCACCAGCAGCAGCAGCGTGCGTCCATTCGTGTTCATTGGTGCGCGCACGCTGAGCCGGCCGGATCCGAGCCAGATGTTGATTGATGAGCGGCTGCGACGTGGGCTGCGATGCTGCAGGCAGCTCCCGCCGCGGCGACCGAGAGGGATGACGTGTGGGCGCATGTGCCGGACGCCGGGCACCAGCACCACTTCATCCCACACCGGTAGTCACTGCGCGGGTTTACTTCGACCTGGCGGCGAGCAACTACGAAGACGTGGCTGGCATCTGGCAACGGCAACAACAGCAGCGCCAGCGTGATTTTGGCGCCCAACACGGAGGAAACGAACAGGCGCTGGGATGCAGTAACGGAGATTTTGGATGGGATTTAACGGCAATGGCAGCTAAGGAGAGAAAAATTAAAGTCAATGGCATAGAAGCAAAGTCATATTTTTCAATGGCACATAACACACAAGTATAAGTTTCAATGGCATAGAACAAATTGGCTCTTAATAATTTCGTTGCGAAAGGTTCTTGCAGAATGAAAAACTAAATCATTGCATTTAATGACGTTGTATTGCCATAATTTAAATTTGTTCAAACAAGGGCTTGTTGGGTGGCAACTAATAATTATGCTGCCACAATTTATTGATGGTGTTCGGATGGTGCTATGCACAGTAGATTTCGGTCGGATGGTTCCAGATAATTGAGAAAGTGACCAGCCGAACGCACCGATTGTAGCCGAGTACCCTCTCTCCTCCGCACGGATCTAACGCGGGCACGGTCAAGGACTAGAGGAGAACGTGACGTGCCGGCGGACTCCACCGTAACGCACAGGTGTAGATGAGTAGCAAAGGAGCACGAGCAACGGCCGGTATGTTCTTTTTTTTTTTTTTGAACATGGAAGGATTCTCCATTACTCATAAAACGACGCCAAATCGTTGGTGACCAGTACACGGATACAACTTGGAATGCTATCCATAATCGGATCAGCACCCGGACTCAAACTCGCCCATAGGGCAGCAAGGCTATCAGCAGCCAAATTACATGAACGGGGGTATGAACTACATTTACGAAATGAAATTACTCCCAAGCAAATCCTTAAGCTCCCAGATAAGACCGCCTGCAGACCAACGATTAAAGTCTGCAGATTTCACCGCTTGCACAATCATGGTTGCATCTGTTTCCAGAATCACTCTCTGAACCCCCAGATCAGCTGCTCTCTGCAGGGCTTGTAGACAGGCAACAATCTCAGCATGAAAAGCTTCACTTGCATTTTCCAGCTTACAGAAGCCCGAGCTGATGACACCACCATCCCATTCCCGGATCAAGAAACCCCATCCACCTGATCTCGTGCTCAAAGAAAAAGCACCGTCGCAGTTGATCTTGACAGCATTTTGCGGAGGTGGCGACCAAAATTTCCTTGCTTTCACCTGATCACCCACATCCTTGGCCTGCTTGAGAGGTGAACATTCCGCTGCATAGGAGCCGATCAGCTGTGCCAAACGGCCGCTATCTCTTGGCTGCTCACCTTCTCTCACACCACATCGCTCGGACCACCATAAATAGAGTAGGGTTATCACCTGTCTCTGTTCTCTGTATGTCCGGTTTCATTTTCAGTATCGCCTCCACAGCCTCTCTAGCTGACATGAGCCCCGCCAACTCCTCCCGCACTGCATCAAGCTGCAGGTTTGCCCACACATGCCGCACACCTTTGCACTTGAAAAAGAGGTGTGCTCCATCTTCATCAAGGCTGCGCCCACACATGACACAACTAGTGTCAATCTTCATTCCACGTCTTCTCAGGTTGACCCGAAGTGCCAAGCTATTGTGCCCCAATCGCCATAAGAAATGGATCATTTTCTTCGGACAGTTTAAGTTCCACACACGCCTCCAAAACGGGGTCATCTAACCGACTAGCAGTTCCTGATGCCGAGCCTCCGCCTCCGCCTCTGCGCTCTGTGCTTCTCTTTTTGTCTGCCATAAACACCTTGTATGCCGATCTGACAGTGAATTGCCCATTATTGTTAAAATGCCAGGCAACCAGATCATCCATTCCTTCATGTACAGGTATGCATAGAATACAATCCGCATCTTTATCCCAAAAGATCTCCCTGACCAGTGCTTCGTCCCAGGATCCAGTCATCGGATCTATAAGCTCATCAACACGTGAGATCAAGTTCGAGCCTCTTGGAGTGAAAGGCCTGCGAGACTGATCCCTTGGTAGCCAGTCATCCTCCCAAATCCGAATATTAGCTCCATCCCCAACACGCCATATAATACCCTTCTTGAGCAAATTCAAACCAGAAAGGATACTACGCCAAGTGTATGACATATCTCTTTTAGGTTTAGCTTTCAGGACATCACCTTCTGAGAAATATTTCGCTGTGAGCACCCGGGCACAAAGAGATTCAGGGTTTGTCAGTACTCAGTAATCTCCATGCCTGCTTTGCCAACATTGCCATATTAAAAGCGTGTATATCCCTGAACCCGAGACCTCCATCTTCTTTTGCCTGCGTCAGTTTATCCCAGCTTAACCAATGCATCTTGTTATCTTTATCTTGATGGCTCCACCAGAACTTTGCAACCATCGAACTTATCTTATCACAAAGCCCTTTTGTGAGATCAAAGCAGCCCATAGCAAAGGTTGGGATGGCCTGCGCTACTGCTTTTATTAAAATTTCCTTTCCCGCCTTTGAGAGCATCTTCTCCTTCCATCCAAGGATCTTTTGCCAAATTCTATGTTTCAAATAATTAAAAGTGCCGGCCCTGGACAAGCCAACATGTACTGGTAAGCCCAAATACCAGTCATTCATGGCTTCATTTGTGATCTGCAGAGTTTCCTTCACAGCAACCCGATCGACATCATTTGTATTAGCACTGAACAAGACAGCAGACTTTGCTTTGTTGATAGTCTGTCCGGACACTTGTTCATACAAGTTTAGGATGCTCTGAATTTGTTCTGCATTTTCCCGATTTGCCCGAACAAGTAGGAGGGAATCATCAGCGAACAACAGATGGGATATACTTGGGGCGTTATGACAAATTCGCACCCCTCTGATCCGACCAGCGTTTTCAGCTTCAGTTAGCAAGGCGCTAAAACCTTCTGCACACAGTAAGAAGAGGTAAGGGGATAGTGGATCCCCTTGCCGTAATCCTCGGCCTGGTGCAAAATTTGTACCAATATTACCATTCACCTTCACCTAGTAGGACACAGAGGTCACACAATTCATGATTAACTGAACCCCTGCATGACAGAAACCCATCTTAATCATCATTGCCTGCAAAAATGACCATTCCACCCGATCGTAAGCTTTGCTCATGTCCAACTTAATTGCCGCCCAACCCTCAGCCCCCTTTTTCTTTCTTTTTAGGAAATGGGTAAGCTCATAAGCTATCAAAATATTATCACTAATAAGGCGACCCGGAACAAAAGCACTTTGGTTCTCTGAAATTATGACCGGCAAAATCTTTTTTCGACGGTTGGCTAACACCTTAGATATGATCTTATATAACACATTGCAGAGGCTGATAGGGCGCAGATCAGTCACCTTATCCGGCTGTGATACCTTCGGTATTAGAGAGATGATGGTTTCATTCCAGTGCTGTGGCATTGCTCCACCATGGAGAAAATCCAGCACCTCATCCGTGATCTTTCTCCCCACAACATCCCAAAACCTCTTGTAAAATACGGCCGCCATGCCATCCGGTCCCAGGGCTTTCAAATCACCAATACTGTCCAAGGCTTCCTTGATTTCCTCTTCTACAAAATCCACCATAAGCTGCTCATTCATCTCCGGTGTTACCCGAGTTTGGACAGCGCGTAGGAGCTGTTGGATATCACCATTTACATTTGATGTGAAGAGATGCATAAAATAGTTAGTAATAAAATCCTGCTTCTCTACTTCTCCCTCCACCCAACCCCCAACTCCATCTTTTAGCGGTCCTATTCTATTTCTCCTCTTCCGAGCAAGCCGCATGAAATAATTTTGTGTTCCTATCTCCCTTCTCTAACCACCGAGTATGCGACCTTTGTTTCCAGTAGATATCTATTTGCTCCTCCACTTTGTCTAATTGGAACCTAAGCACCGCTTCTCTAGACACCCCCTCCTCCGAAATAGACCCCCTCCTACATACCTCCAACTCCTTTTTTTAATTTTTTCCTTCTTTTCTCCCAGCCACCTAGCACATTCGAACTCCAGCAGGAGAGGCTACCAGCCACCCTGCCAACCAGCTGGTCGACCCTAGTGAGACCCTCGGCCACGCCCTGGTCCCAGGCCTCCTTCACAACCTCCGCACACTGCTCCTCAAGCCAGACGGCTTCAAAGAAAAAAGCCTTGCTTCCCCGAACAGGCCCTGTAGCTTCCCTCTTCGTCGAAATAATGACCGGGCGATGATCTGAGTGCCGCGGATCGCCATTCAACACATGAACTGTGGTAAACTTTGCACGCCAATCCATATTAGCCAAAGCCGCCAGGCGCTCCCTGACATACCCCTGCGCCGTACGATTATTATTCCTCCAAGTATATACATCACCTTCAAAACCCAAGTCTTGGAGATCACAGTCAACAATGGCCTCTCTGAAGCGGTCCATTTGGGACTGTGGTCTCAACGCCCCTCCCTCCTTTTCATGCTGGTACAAGATTTCATTGAAATCTCCTGCACACAACCAAGGCATGGCTTCTTGTGAATGCAGGTCTCTCAACAGGGTCCAGGTCTTATGCCTATCTTCTGTTTGTGGATAGCCATAAATACCAGTGAACCGCCACTTGTAACCATCACCCTCTAGAACGTCAACATCAATGTGGTTATCAGAGTAATTCCTCAAACCCACATTTATCCCCCTCCGCCAAAACACTGCAATCCCCCCAAAACACTCCAACACAATCCCCCACCCTAAGCCCACAACCCACCCCCCATCCTCCTTTGTTTCCGACAAGAAAAGAATATCCGCACACTCCGTCTTCTGGAATTCTAAATCCATCGGTTTCAGACTCAGTCTTCAAGCAACAATATTGGGTCCCTTGGGACCGGTCCACATCGCTCTGCCTTCTTATCAACAGTGTCATGGTTCTGCTCAAGCACCACAGCTGCCTTCACCTTCTTCGCCCCATCCTCCTGTACCTCCTCGTCTAAATCCATCTTCCTCTTCTTCTATATCTTATCACCCTTATCACCCTTAGCATCATCTATCTTAACTGGCCTAGTCTTATCCAGCCGTTTGTACTTACCACGCTTCCCATCTTTCTTCAAATCATCCTCACTTCCTTTCCCTGCAACCCCACCTTCTACTACTGCAACAGAGCCAGGAGCACCCAGCTGCGGCAGTAAAGATTTCTTAGCCAGTAACTCACTCCCATCTGCCGCAACAGATGCATGAGCGTTCAAAAGCTTTTCCGGGCTCGTGACCTCTTCTCCCTTCTCCGTACTCTTTTCATCTCTTCCCTTTCTCCAATTCAGAGCAGCACTACCTGATCCCGAAGAGCCCCAACGATCACCTCGGGTCTCATAGGAACCCCTGCTGCCAGAACTCCCACTAATCCATGGACCACGCTGCTTTGCACCAAAGAACCTTCTCTCCTCCGACCCCTCTCCTCTTTTCTTCTCCAGGATGAAACGCAGGCTCCTTGAGAATTGTTGGGGCTCCCCTTTTTCACACTGAATAGAGCACTGCTTGTCAACATGGCCAATGTGGCCACACGTGTAGCAGAAATCCAGGAGATACTCATAAGCAAAAGAACACTTCTCCCTCTCCGGATTCCCCACCTTCACAGTAATACCACACATAAGGGGGGGCACGTGAGCCCCCCTAAGCCCTCCCTTAAAATTTTATGCATATATGTATTAGGTAGGAGGGGCTAAAGTTAAGAGAAGATAAAAAAACCTCTATTCTTTTGTTCAGCCCCTCCTAAATTTTTTTCTAGCTTCGTCCCTGTTTGTGGATGTCGATCAGCACCTTAATCCACAGAACCCTCCCCATTGCAGTACCATCCTCACCCACATCAACATCTTTGAACACACCAATCTTCTCTCCCAACGTGGCACCAGTCTCCTTATCCATCATTCCAAAAGGGAGGTTTGAAACCCTAACCCAGATCGGAATGTAGATGAATTCCATCTCATCCAGTGTCTTTGACTCGTCGAAATCCACCATGACCACCAGATCCTTGGAAATCATCCAAGGGCCATCCTCCAGGGCTCTCCGCTTCCCCGATGCTTGCAGGAAAGTGAACAAGAAGTGGTTCTCGCCCATATCCTTACACAGGACCCCCTTAATTGGACACCACACACGTCCCAGTGTCCTCTCTAGGGTTTCCGGCGAAACTAACTTCTCCGCCAAAACCTTCCCCACTGCCTGCGGCTCCGCCACACGAGAACGTCGGGATCCACCACCGCCGATCTTCACTCCACCCCGCTCCTCCTCCGACAAGCGCAGCTTCCCCATTAAACCCTCAACACCCTCCATTGAAGATCAGAAACAAAACTCGTGGAGGCGGCACAGGAAAACTAGGGCTAGCACGTTAGGTTTGGGCTCCGATCACCGAAGAGGGACGTGGACACTCGTGGAGTAGGATGTGGAAGATCTAGATCACAATCCTTGAGGCGAGGATATGATCAAGATCCGAGAGAAACAAGGACGAGGGACACGAGAGAGACAGATGGAACGTAGCCGCCTCCCGAGTCGCCCAGGAAACCCTAGGCGCCGGGGACTCTCTTTTAACGGCCGATATGTTCTGCCTACAATCTTGGCCAGCCAAGCTCCCTGCTTGGAAAATCAGCACTCCTCATCAATACCATATCTAGTGTGTATGCAGTGTAAGTCATACTCGCTCCGTCCCAAAATAAGCACATACTGTATCTTGTATCCTAAGAAGTCAATTCTACTTAAATGTGATCAAACATCTAAAAACTTATTAATATTTATAATAAATAAGCATCATTAGATTAATTACATTATGTATTTTTTATAGTAAACCTAATTAGAGATATAAATGTCGATACTATCTCCTATAAATCTTAGTTAAATTTAAATAATGCGAGATTAGCATTTATTTTGGGACGGATAGAATACTTTCCTTGCATCAGGTGAAGGACAAAGAAGCATGTAACTGCGGTCATTTATTTATATGAACCAAACATGCTCACAATATATAATGTTGTCCTCGCCCCTGTTGGTCCCTCGGCTGCCCTGCACAGGTAAACAGTAAGTTTACCAGCACACTCACTCACTGTGGCTAGAGGTAGAAGAAGATATTGAGAACAACTCACACACACACACACAGCACAAGCCCAGTGCTAGCCGAAAGCTCTGCTTCTGAATGTGGCAAACTAAACTACTCTTTTGCATTGCCTTAGGTGTGATATATATACAAATGCTAGTACCTCTACCAGGTACATAGTTGTTGGTGAGTACACCAACTATCTACTCCTCAGGTATACCAACTACTCCTAGTACCAGTAGTACAAAGCTTACATCAGCCCACTACAAAGACATGGCTGATGTAATAGCTACCAACTAATGTATTAGAGGTGGCCTATTGCCATACTGTTACAGCAGTAGAGACTGGACAGCCGAGCTGACCAAATGCCAACTCTGTTGTAGCAGAGAGAGAGAGAGAGAGATACAACAACAGATTATGTCTTACAATTCTTCCCCTAATCCTGCAGCTAAACCGATGCCTTGACCTCATCCATGCCAATCATCTTCCTCAGCTCCATGAACCGCAGGCGCCCGAGTGACTTGGTGAGGACGTCAGCGAGCTGTCTGCCGGTCTCGACGAACTCAATGACGATCTGCCCTCCATCGATGTAGTCCCGGAGGAAGTGGAACTTGATGTCAATGTGCTTGCTCCGGTCGTGGAGGACAGGGTTCTTGGCGAGGGCGATGGCAGGTTGGTTGTCCACCATCAGAGCTGGCGGGTGAGCTTCCTCGCCGGTCAGCTCGCCCAGCAGCTGGCGCAGCCAGACAGCCTGGCACTCCGCCGTGGCTGCTGTGACATACTCCGCCTCGCACGTCGACAACACCACGATCTTTTGCTTCAGCGACTGCCAAGCAATGGGGGCCGCTCCAAGGAAGACAAGCACGCCGAAGGTGCTCCGTCGCCCGCCATGTCTGCGTCGATGAAAACAGTGAGCTCTGGCTCACCTTCCTTTGCTCTGGGGGTGCTCACCCGCAGCCCACCCTTGGGGTGCTTGAGGAAGATGATCGCTTGATCGAAGGCCCCCTTGGCGTGGCGCGCTTCACCTCTTTGCCCCAAATGATGATCCTCGCGTGGGTCCTCCATGAAGCTTGATACCCGATCACCATACCCGACCGTGAACGTGATGTCGCCGAGTATGATGATCGCGCAACCCGCCGACGATGCTCCGTAGATGGCGCTCCCCTTCACCGGCTTGGCTGCTCCTCCATTGAGCGCGCGGCTTGCACTCCGCCATGCCTTGCGCCCAGCGGCTTTCTCCAGATAAGCGCTAGCCTGGGGAGATGTCCTTCCGTGGGTCCTCAATGCCGAGGTAGCGGGAGAGCATGCCGATCGCTCATTTGAACGAACGCGACCATCGCGCTTGAAGCCGTCGATGTCCTCCGGCGGGAGTATGCCCACATCACGTGCGTCCACGAAGCCGTGACGAGCTCCTTAACTCCCCGTCGCAGCGCGTGCGGTGCTGCGGGCGCGAGTGAACCAAGCTTCGCCAAGGTAGCGTCGAGTTTGGCGTTCCATGCCCGAGTGGCTGTCACAACCCAGAAGCGCTTGCGCATTTTGAGCTGTGTGCTCGGGCGCCCTTGACGAGGAAGCCGGAGCTTTGCAGCGAAGACCGTCTCGCGAGCTCCCGCCGTTGAACGCAGACTTGACGCCGAGGTGGTGGGCGCCAATCGCCAATGCTTCTCCGCCATAGCCAAAGAAGTTTAGCGGACTCATTCGCGCCACCGAGCAAAAAGACTTCTCGAAGTCGATAAGCGCCGCGCAAGCCGTGGACGATGTGAGCCTTGTACTTGACAATGGCGCGCGCCCTCTTCCGCTCTGTAGACCCACTTCAACCCGACGGTCGTAGGAGAGCATGGATCCACGAGATCGCATGTCCCATTTTTCTCGATGGCCTTCATCTCTTCCAATATCGCCGGCGCCAATTGTCGTCGTGTTCAAGTACTTTAAAAGCGTCGATGGCTCCTCCGCACTAACAAGGAGCGCTACGGGTCGTCGAAAAAAGCGATCCAGAGCTCCCCCGCCCACGATGTTGTCCACCCGCTGAACCGGACCTCCTGCGCCGTCGTGGAAGCGTCCCACGTGCCGTCGATGTCGGTGGGTGGAGAGGTGAACTCGTCGGTGGTCCATGGCCTGCTGATTACCCGAGTCGTCGGATCGCCGACAGAAGCTCGGCGCGCCAAGAGAGTGGTCGGATCTAGTTTGGCGTCGGCACCACTGCCAGGAGTGGTCGGCTCTATCTTGGCGCTTTCGCCGCTTCTTCTTTGCCTTGCGGCACCCCTACAGGTGGTGAGCACTTGCCGACCGCTCGCACCACTCTGGGGTGGCGGCACCTGAACTCTCCACCACCATGGATGACTAAGTGTTCGACACGCGAAGGTCTTTGCTCAGTCGCCAGCCGGCTTCGCGTGCGGACCCTCCCAATCCCGGCCGTCATCTCATCGAACACCACATCCCTAGAGATCACCACCTTGCCTCTCTTAGGATCATAGAGCCGTCACGCCTGGTGCCTCTCAGAGCGTAGCCAGAGCACCATTGGCGTGCTCTGTCTTCCGCCTTCTTTGCCGAGGTGAGGCTTGGTGTTCTTCACATGGCCGACGAGCGTAGCCAAATGTCACGAGGAAGGACACATTCGACTTGCGTTCATGCCAAGCCTCGACGGCAGCGTCTTGCCCCGGGGCCTTGGTGGACGCAGCGGTTGAGGATGAACACCGCCGTGGTCACCGCCTCTCCCCGAACTTTGCTGCGGCATGCTTTTAGCCTTCATCATGGATTGAGCCATGCCGACCACCGCCTCTGGTTCGCCGCTTCCACCAGGTCACCATGGACGACGCGGCGTGGTGGTGACCACCCTCGATCCTGCAGACTTGATGAACTCGCCGGCGAATTCGTGAACTCCATTCCAAAGTGGCTTTCTTTGCTTCCGACTAGACGCCTTGACCTTCACGACTGCTACTGCCGTCGTCTTTCGATATGAGGCTTGCCGGTCACCATCTCCTCCAACTTTGGACTAGAAGCCGTCCAGATCGAGATGGCCACCAACAAGATGAATACTTGAACCGCATGCGTCGCCCGTGATCGTGTCGGCAGAGGTCACCAAATCGAGGGCTCTGCAGATCTGATATCATGCCGTCTTCCACCTTTCTTTGCTTCCGACCCGGCGGACACACTGCTTGCTGCGTGCTCGATATGAGGCAGCCAGGACCATCTCCTCGACTAGAAGCGAAGTCGAGATGGCCATCTGTAAGCATGCCATGACCGGCTCCTCCCGTGTCTGCGTGGCATGGCGATGCTCCACCTTCAAGTCGCCATCCTTGATCGGACCTCTTCACCTGGCAAGAATCGCCGCTCTCGGTCCCCGATCCCGAGGACGCCAATGCCCTTGATCGATGCCTCATTGCCGCCATCTCACCGGTGGCCAATGTTGATGATGCTTGAACACGTGCGGAATGTAATATACATCCGTCGGTAGCGGTGCTCGCTTGCTTCGGCACTGAAGATGATGGTGCCGCCCCCTTGGATCGCCACCCTTGAGCCGTCACCGAACTTCACCGTGTCGGTCACGTTGCCGTCGAGCTCAGAGAAGGCTTCCTTGGAGCCCGTCATGTGGTTGCTGGCACCGGAGTCCAGGTACCACCACTGCTCCTGCTCGCCGCCCACACGTCCGAGGTGGACTTGAGCGCGTGGTTCGTCGAGATTGACAGCCTTCAGAGCCTTGTCGTGCCCTTCCACCGTCATCACCTATCCCTTCTCCTTGGCCTCAACGTCGTGCAGTGCACAGAACGTCGCCATCAGGAGAGTGGCATCACCATCCTCATCAGCCTGCGCTAAATGAGCCTCAGTCTTCTTCTCCTGCTTGCGATTTGGGCACTCCTTTGCCAAATGGCCCGTCTTCCCGCAGCGCCGGCAGACGTTGGGGTCGACCTTCTTCTTCTCCGAATAAGCCTTGCCGCGGCGCTTGCCATCGCCACCGCGGCTGGAGGAGGCTTCCCCGGACTTCTTCTCCTTCATCCGAGCAGCCCACTCCTATGTCAACAACAGCTTGCCGCTGTCCGTCGTTGCTATGGCCTGCTCCATGCACTCGTCCACCGCCCGTAGACGGCCTATCACATTCTCAATGGTGAGGGTGGACAAGTCCAGCATCGTCTCTATGGAGAAAGCGATCTGGATGTACTTCACTGGCACGGAGTGGAGGTACTTGGAGACCGCCTCTTCTTCGTCGATGGTGACACCGTGGCTCCTCAGCTTGCTGATGAGCGAATGCAAG